CGCTTCGTTCGTGCTCTCCAAACTTCCCGCGTGCGCCATAACTCGATAGTGCACGCTAAAGCATGAACCAATTGTTAATCAGGAGCAATTATGACGTATTGCATGGTAAAAAAATTAATTCATTAATTATCATGTTACCCCACTAGCAATTACCTGATTAACGATTAATACACTACATATGGTAACTACCAAGATATTTTAGCAACACAAACTCCGACTCGTGTCAACCTGCGCGGGAAATAGTCTGTCAAGAAGACAGTTACTGAACTTTCGTAACTCGCGATTACCGCGCGCGCTTTGAAACTTCGTAAGCAAGTTACGAGTGCGATTTTCGCTTGTAAGTTTTTTGTTTTTTACTTTCTGAGTCACAATTTTTGAGGTTGTTGGTGTTTTTTTTTTTTTTTTTTACTAAGTTCACAGTTTCACCGTTAAACCTTTTTCTACTCGAACAACACTTCTGCTTTTTCAAGAGGCTTCCGTACCCGCTTCCGACCTCTGTCTTGTATCAAACGTCAGTTACTTGTAACTCTATTTGAATTTGAATCGACTCACACGTCCACGGAAGGTTACGTTCAGGAACTAACAAGATTAATTTGTAAATTTTTATGCAATCAGTTCTCAAATCAGTCATTTAGGTTTGCTGTTGGTTCATATCCGAGCGTTTTGTGTACAATGCAAGTCCAATTTGTACTGACTAAGCATAAAGAGGTCAATCGATGGCGTTGCACGCGCTGCCACAAAGATCAATCGAAAGTCACTTTTTTGTTTTTGTTTTTTGTCTGTTTTGTTTAATTTTGTGTTTGCTTGTGTGCGTGCGTGTATGGGTGGTCAGAAGTAGTCACATTCGTTTTTAAGCCCAAAGAGGATCAGATATCGAATTTGATATAAGTTTTTTATTCCGGTTAATAGGACTCCAGTACCAAACAAGAGCCTGTGGACACCTCTACCAAATGGGACTCTACAGGTAAACAAAGCGTTCCCTTGTTCCTCTTTGGGGGATTTTTTTAGAAGTTCTTTCCTTAAAGGCCTATTTTCATCCGAGATCCTTTGCAGTCGTTTGTTTTTGTTTTGGAATCGCGCTATTGTTAAATGGCGAACTCTGATAGTCATTCACAAACCCTATTAAAAAGAAAAACAAAGATTTGGTGAAGAACACAGTATACAAATTTGCAGTTAAATATTTGAGACTGAAAAGTCATAAATCGAGTCTGTGTATAAAACTTGTACAAAGCTTACTTGATGTTGAAGGAAATTGTTCAGCTTTAACACTAAATAAAATGTAAACAAATAACCAATATTGGCCAAAACGGAATTACTTTACGCACTTCAATTATAGAATAGTGACTTGTACAAATGAGATCGCTTACATACATATCT